AAAAAAAAAAAAGTCAATGGCATTTTTAATTTTTTTTTTTCGCTCCTGGAAATAGAAGTTACTGATATCACTTAGTGGTAATAACTTTGAAATGCTTCTGAGTGATATTCTGAACCTCGAAATGAAGCTATAATTTTGGCAATATTGTGAGGTTACAGGCACAAACAGAAGCATTTGTGCTAGCATGAGTTTTGCTGGTTGTACAAAAGCAAACACAGCAGAATACTATCTTTAAGTCATGTTTTCATGTACAGGAATGTTCATGGAATTCCAGCTCTTACACAAGCGCTTGATTACTTCTGTTGTAGAAGTGTATGACACCTGTGAAATTCGAAATTCTGGTGTGTTTATGAGGGGAATCTGTTTTGTGTAAATCGGTGACACAAACCCATTTGGAATGAAAGCAGTTGCTTCGGGCCACATTCAGGTTTTCTTTACGTAAATTAAAATATGTTAAAGGACAAGGTTTGCACTGGTGACACTTTTATTGTCCTGGATAACAAAATTTATAGATATGTCCTAGTTAAACACCACATTCAAGTTTCATATTTAATGAACAGAAACCTTTTACTTAATATATTCAGATATATCCCGATGAGTATCCCTCTGACGAACACTTTTTTTCTATGACTCATTAAGGCAGTAACTTGAAATTCAATAAATAAAGCCCAATTTGAATACAAACCCCCTTGCATCTTCAAGTTGATTATTACATGGAGTTTTCAATATTCAGAGTATCTTTATGGTGATCCACTTTATTGCTGAAGAAACATCTTCGTTTTACTGAATATCTGACAGCAAGGCATGATTGAGATCTACAATCCAGAGAGACCATTTTTCAGCTTAAATCTAAGCAAACTGTAACAAAGGAGTACACCTTTGTATGTAGCTCAGAGCTGTTGAAAAATACAGCCATTGCTGGTTCATATTAGCTTCAGCAACTATTGCACATCTGTTCAGACTACTGGACTTAGAATACTTTTATTAAGCGTGTAATTTCAAAACAATTTTCGTTTTTAATGGATGATTTTTATATTATTGAATAGAAATTATGTCAAAGACCAAAAATAATAAAAAAAGAAAGACCAGGAAAGGAAGCTTCCAAAACGAGTTGTGGCTATCTCTGGGCCAGAAGACGTTGTCAAATTGTAAGGAATTTAGCAAACAGCAAAAATTGGGCATGAAAGTTTAAACTGGTCATAAGATTGAGCAATAGCAAAGCCCAGTGATGTAAGAAAGTCCACTCTACTGGCATGAATCTTTTTCTTTTCAAATGAGGAAAGGATATGTCCTGGTGCTGCACCTAATTAAGGTTCAGCCCAGCCTTTGAGCCTTGAGGCAGCTTTGTTTGCTTAATGCACTTCTCCCTGACTAGGGCTATGTTTTGCCTTTCTACCAGAGCTGTAATACCACTTTTGGCTGACAGGGGTGTGGTGATTGTTACTTTTGAGTAATTTCCTTGAATCAAAGGTGCTGTATAGGTCCTTACTTTGTTCGTATAACTGAAGTGAAGTTAACTACATAAAAGCACTGATGTGCTGGCAGAAGCTCTGTCTAAAGGAAGGTATTTCAGGGTGTGTGGAGCTTTATCCTTCGTGTGAAACAGCTTCATCTCACTGCTTCTGCAGGACAGAGGTGAAAACCTGAAGGAATTCATTTCACAGGACTTACAGCTAAGCGTCCTACCACAGAAAGGCTGGTTTATAGTACAGGAGCTGATTAAAGCTGATTAAATGGCAGCTAGTCATAAATCTTGGTAGAAAGACCAAGGAAGGCTTGAAATTGTGTGGACTAGTTCAGAATTATAGGTTGTGAGGTGTTAGGATAAGGTAAAGCTAACATGTTAAAAATAACAATAACAATATAGTGCTAGCATTTTATTAGGAGTGTTCTGTAAAGGGAAATCATGAAAGTGTTTTAGAAATAAGAGTGAACTTTTTAGTGAGGCAAATGAAATGTTTGCTTTTAAACAGTAGGTAGTTTAGTACTTAAAGAGGAAGGTGTGAGAATCAAGCAAATTCATATGTCATAATCTATTAGAATAGTCCTGATTTGTGTATCTTCAAAGTGTAGTTTTCATGATATGAATAAAATAGCAGCCTTTTCCATCTTACATAGGAAATATTGTCCTACTGCCTTTCATTTCAGAATTGCTCTATTAATGCAATTGATAATACAATAAAATTATTTTAAGAAAAATATTGTAACTTGTATATGACTTGATACCAGACTTATGTAAATCCTGTTGGAGTGCAAAAGAAAAAAGATGGTGAAGGTTAATTTTCTTACATAAAGTCAAGACACTCTTATTTTAATAATTTTAATAATTATCAGTAAGTCTTGCAATCTTGATTACAAGATTGCTATTACAATAATTGCACTTAGAAGATTAGATATGGCTAATTAAAATAATTCTGTAAATTTAATTTTATTGAAGTTATGCTGCCTTAGTTTAAAGATGTTTAAGGGAACTTCACAAGCAGTTACTATTTAGCAATTATATTGATTTTGAGTTGTCTTATGATGGGCTTATTGGGGAACTAAAACTCTGGAACAGTCTCATTAGCTTTGCACTGCTGTTTTTCTTCAAAACTTGAAAATTTAAAAAAAAAACCAAGGAACTGCTGTCAGAACCTGATCACCTGACCCCAAACTTTTCAGAGTAGGAAAGGGGAGAATGTCTCAGAAGAAGCACTTTTAAGATCCTATGATAAAAGCTTAGCGGGACTGAAATTAGAAGTTCATTTTGCCATTGGTTGCAGAAGGGTTGTATTTCGTGCCAGTGATTACAGAGGTTCTGAAACACGAGTAAAATGAAGATTCTTCACCTGATGCCAGAAAAGGGATGACTGAAAACCTGTTGTTTTCCTACAGTGTCTGAGCCTGCAGTGTTGTCTTTCCAACAGGTACTGGAATGGTTGAAGTCTCCCATGAGAAACAGGGCTTGTGAATGTGAGGCCACTGTTGTCTCTCTGTAGAGGGCCTCATCCACATTGTCCTCCTGGATGAGCAGCCTGTAGCAGCATTATAATGTCACCTGTAACTGCTCTCCCTGTGCTCTCCATAAGCTTTTGATCCATCCCCAGGTGGAGCTTTATGCGCTCCAGCTGGTCATTGACACAGAGGGCAACACCGCCTCCTTGTCTCCTCCCCCTGTCCTTCCTAAAGAACTGATATCCCTCCATTCCCACGCTCCAGTCGTAGGAGCCATCCCACCATGTCCCTGTGATGCCAGTAAGGTCATTGCCCTGAGCAATTGCATTGTTTCTGTTTGTTTTCTTCCCTTTTCTGTTTGTTTGTTTTGTTTGTCTCATTTTTTTGGGGGGTGTTTTTTTCTTTAGGGTGGGGAGCCAGTCAGACCGGGAGTAGCAATGACAGATCTTGCTACTGGGCTATACACATATGGAGCAATTATGGCTGGTTTACTTCAGAGGTACAAGACAGGAAAAGGACTGCACATTGACTGCAATCTCTTGTCAACTCAGGTAGGAGTTTAAAAAAAATTTCCTTTTGTTTCCCTGTGTTTGAACCTAAACATACCATTTGGACACAAATGAATCCACATGAGTTACTACAACTAATGATGATAATAATAATGACAGTATCAGTAATAGTTTCCTTATTCTGTCCCTCTGGTAGTGACTATTTTATGTGACATGGTTGTAGTTACTGTTGCATTAAGTTTGGCTTTCACTTTTTACAAAGGACTGCCGTGTTCTCTGAAAACTCAAGTTAATCAAGGTTTGTAATATCTCTGAGATTTTACCAGTTGTAGTAGGGGATTTGAGATAAGGCAAGTATAAGTGGTGAAACTAGTTTTGGGGCCTTGGCAGTGGGCAGTGTTACTACCAGAGTGACTGAATAACTTTAACAAAATCACCCAGAGTAATCAAGTATCAGCCAAGTTTCAAAGTAATGTAGTTCAGGAAGTCTGCCTTTTGGCTCTGGGAATTAAAGAATAAAGTGAACTTGAAGATGCAGCATTTTTTTCTAGACATGTTAAAGACAAAATTGTTTTGATCATGGAAGATATACCAAATACTACAAATAATGAGAACCTTAAATTGTCTTTGAACACTTAAACATCAGTGGTGCAATGGTTTGTAATTTGTAAATAGAAAATGATGTTCATGTGAGCTGCATGTGATTGAATGATATGTTTTCTTGCTAATGTAGGTACTTGCTGGTACCAAACTAGTATATGGTGCAGAGGAATTTTTGTTTATGTTTTAAAATGTGCATCAAAATTATATGAAATATAATATTTCATGAAATATTTTAAATGTATGTTAAATACTTATTAATACTTAGGGGTTTTTCTGTGTTTAAGGTATTGTAGTGTTACATATTATGGCAACTTGTCCTTGATCGTTTTCATTTCTAATTTTATTAGAAAGACTTATGTTACTTTTTATGAATTTCCAGAGTAACTCTGGGTCTTTTGGTTGTGTTTTTGTTGGTGGTTTGTTTTTGGTTTTGTTTTTTGGTGTCTTTTTTTAAAAAAATGAAGCTTTCTTGAATTTTATTAGATATTTTATCAAATGCTGAAAGTAAAAAGAGTTGAAGTTAGGTTCTGCTGCAGCTCTTGTGTTTCAGCTTGGTGTCTCATTTGTCTTTAGAATCTTCTTCCTTGATTAGGATAGATTTGGCTGTGCACGAAGGTGTTCTTGTCATTGTCCTTTAGGCCACTCACTGGGATACACAAGAAAGGGATTGAAGACCTGGATAGGTGTTGGTGAACAAAGCATGCAACAGGGTGTTTGTCTTCTACATGCTTAGCTGAGAAAGTACTAAATGGTGAAGGGAAGGTCTGGTAGTTTCTTGAGATTTTCAAACATTAAATCGTTCCATGCTTGCTAACAAATTATAGTTGTCTAGAAGTTATTAACAGGCAATTCCATACATGCACATTCTCACTGAAAAATAAGTGGGTTTATTTACTTCAGTGTTGGATAAATGAAACTCAAATAAGTTGGTATTTTGGAACTGTATGTGGGTATAGGATGTTACTCAGAAAACAGTGCTTTTGTTTTGGATAATCCTGTTACTTCAGTCCAAATTAATTTTAGGGTGTTGGCCCAAGACTGCAATGAGAACATATATTCAGTTGGAAGAAGTGTTTGTAGATGAGGTGCTAGAGTACCACAAATAAACCCATGAGATCAATTCTATTAAAAAAATG